ATATATATATATATATATCTTACGTGTGAGAAGGTATTCTTTTTGTGTCAGTGTTACTGAAATTATTCGCCTTACAACCTATGCTTGGGGTTCCAATATCGCAAAGGCATCAACCAGGATGGATGCATCCTGAAACAGCTCGGTGTGCAATTTCCCACTGCTATATGAATTTATATTAACATTGAAAATCAATCGGTAAATGCATACTACTTAAGTAGGCATTTGTGCTGTGCAATTTCCGCAGGTGTCTCAATGGAAGTTCGTCCAAAAGACAGCACCCTGACTTGAGTGAAATATCCTGGGATTTTGTTGCGCGGTAATTACTATAAAAACTCTATTTAAGTGGCCATTTCGAAAGTAAAAAACTTTTGAATTTTAAGCAACATTTCACGAGACAGTACATCTACGGTATAAAGTACAATTTTCCGTCAGTTCGAACACACCAAAAAAATGTGCACGGAAACTTAAAGACGCAAAATGAGTATTAGTTTTCAATTTCGTAAAGAAACGCACGTTTTTATCATCTATGGAGGATAGACTGGCCAAATAGACGTGTGAATATCGTATGCGCCAGTCAAATAAATGGACCAGGAGAATGTATGTAGGCATAAAGATGCCATTTATGAAAGTATATCTGATCTGCCCTTAGTCTGATCCAAATGCAGTAGGATGAACATCGCGCTACTTCCTGGAAATTTGTCTTGTGTGGACGAGGAAGTTGCATGTCTTAACGTGCGTATTTTCTAGAATAAGCTATTTACCACAAAGGCGAATGCACAGGTAATAGATAATTTCTCACTTTTGTATTTCATGCACCTAATCATTTTTTGAAGGAACTCACTGAATGCGCAGTTTACGTTCATAAAGAGTAGAAATATGGAAGTTATGGCGGAAGTTTTTCTTTGGGATCGATGGGCTTGTCCCTTCTACAATATACGGGCGAGTCTAGGCTGATAAAAGGAGGGTGCATTAATTTTTTAATTAAAGTCTAGGTTACGGAAGAGCTTTTAAGAATTCGCCTTAAGCCAGAAGTTCAAATCTGCACAGTGGGGTGTATCCTTGAGGCAAAACTACAAGATGGTGACTATTTTGGCCGAACAGGCGCGCTACTTCACGCAGCTTGCCTTTTAAAATGCTCACCTTGAATTCAACCAAAGTTTAAAACTATAAAAAGTAGGCTGGTTTCAATTCCAAAAGGCCTGTAGTGGTCGCTGCTGCCCGGCGCCCTCCTAACTCGTGACGCCACGGACGAGATCACATAGAGCATAGGACCTCGCGCGAAGGCAGTTTTCCATGTGCCTCGGGCCATGCGCAAACTGACATGCAACCCTCACTGCTAGGAAACGCAAACACCATATCTCCCCCATTCTAGCCTCAACCCACAGTGGTTTGACATCCATCCGTCTGGACAGACCTCAATGCGGTGGCTGCCGCTAGACATCACTTCGGGCCACGCCACTCTAGCGGAAGGACATGGGCTCCAACAGTAAGATGTCCTACAACCTATTTTTCAATCCTTCTACAGAATAAACTCTTCTTTCCACTCTGGCCTTCCCATGACTCCTCTCCTCTCCCAAGGAATCGGGCTTGGAAGATCGCAGCCTTAACCCTCCCAAAAAGCCTGCCAAATATAGGTATGCTCAGCTAATATTATTTTCTGTCAACAATTAGGATACTTTCGTTGATGTAATGTGAGTTTTGTCAGTCAGTCTTTTTAAGTGCTAACAAGTGCTGAAGAGTAAACAGACCGATTAACATGCTTACAGGTTTTTGGTATAGAAAAGTCTTTCGGCCAGCCCACAAACACAGCAAAAATCGTGTTCATCCAGAGCCTGAGTATCATCTGTCAGATCAAGAATCCGAGTGAGTTCATCCACCTGCTCCTGATAAAAAGCCCCACTCATCAGGGCCTTCAGAGGTTCCAGCAGTTTCTAGAAAGTGAGACAACAATTAAAAATTGAGTAAATTACCAGGGGATTAAAGCAAAACCAGCTAAACGGACACTTTATCTTACGTCAGACGGAATTAGGTGCGTGCGACCGTCCTTGTATTT